GAGGTGGAGCAGGTGGACCAGCAGGCGCATATATGGGACCTGTACCTGGAGGACCAGGTGGACCACCCGGGACAGGGGGGCCTGTCCCATTTTCAGAAGGTGCTCGCGCAGAGGTTTTAGCTGCAGGCGGAGGTTCTGTCTCTGCCGGAGCTGCTATAGTCACGCATACGGAAGTTGCGCCTGCAGTCGGACCTGGCACCGGAGCGTACATCGATCCTGTGGATGCCAACAAAACAAAGCGAAATACCATATGAAAATTACGACTGGTTCACATGTTTGTACATTTGTTTGATAAACATTTCGTATTTTGCCTTTCAAGTAGTATAAAGAAAAGGAAACATAAGAATTTGAGCAATATTTTATAATAAATAACTTCAAGAAAAGCTGATTGAACTCTTTATAAGTTGCAAGGAAGAAAACATTTATCACAATCGCTACAAAACTGTATCGTGTACTGAGGCCTAGTCAAGCATGCTATTATTGGATAGCAGACTAACGGTACGATATTTCTCCTGAATAAAAATACTCGAAAAGAAGCTAATCATAGCCGCTCAGCTAAGCAACCCCTGTTTTTCGTTACTGGTAATTTTGAGCATGAATGCTTACACAACAGACTCGTAGTAAGAGCCTCCCTCTTAGGTGGTATCCGCTTAACCCTCCTATACTCCGTTACTTCTCTTCACAATGTGATTTGCTATGATTTAGGACTGTGCTAAGGAAATATTTTATTATTTGTCATCAAACATCGCCGGCTGTAGTCTGACTTTCAAATTTGAAGTAAACCGTTTATAACATTCGATTACTTTAGCTCATTAATATGTATATGTGACATCAGAGAACAACTTGACAGAAATCATATCAAGAAGGACCCTCAATGAAAAGTTCCGAGTCCTTGTTACATCGCTTCTGACCAGCTGATATTTAATTATCGGACATAGATCACAGAAGAAACCTTAAGAAAGATCTTAAAATTTAAAAATGATAATGATCTCAAAGTCTCGAATGAAAAAATTCTCACACTCTTACAAATGCCTGCTAGAAATTTTTATTGTAAAGAAAACAAT